GCAGGGACCCCGGAGCAGCTTCAGGGAGGTATCGCAGTCGCACGGGGGAGGGAGGTGCCCCTAACCCTAGGGCCCTGACCAACGGGCCGGCCGGCTCCCCAGGGAAAGGTTCCTGCAGCACCGTGGCTGCGTGCACACAAAGCGCTTCTCCAACTCCCTCCCGCCAATGGGCTTGAAGCTGAGGCTTGGAGGGGTGGAGAGCCGGACAAGAAGCCACATGGAAGCCCCAACGACGACGTCCAGAAAGCGGCTGGGGCAAGCAGCCCCGCACCCCTGGGCAGCTGGACCCTCTGGAGACCCAGCAGCTCGGAGGTGCAGACCCCTGGGGACAGGCTAGGCGGCGGGGTGGGGTGGGGTGACAGCAGGCCTGGCCCTCCCACTGCACCTCCACCCCCACCCCGCTCTCCAAGGACGGCCGCTCCCCCAAGCCCTGTGTGTCACCACAGCCTCCCTGCCCTCCTGCTCAGCCCTGTGGCCACCAGTGCTGCCCATGTGGCCTGGCGCCCAGTGGCACCTGCGTGACCATGTCCAGCTTCGTGTCTGGCACAGCGGGAAAAGGCTACGTCATCGAGGAGGGCACAGAAACACAAGATCTCCAAGGACGGCTGCTCCCCCAAGCCCTGTGTGTCACCACAGCCTCCCTGCCCTCCTGCTCAGCCCTGTGGCCACCAGTGCTGCCCATGTGGCCTGGCGCCCAGTGGCACCTGCGTGACCATGTCCAGCTTCGTGTCTGGCACAGCGGGAAAAGGCTACGTCATCGAGGAGGGCACAGAAACACAAGCCCTCAAAAACTGTCCCTCTGAGCTTTGAACACGGGATGATGGTGAGTTCAAGGCCAGCCTGGGCAATGGAACAAGACTTTGTCTCAAAAAAAAAGTATGTAAAAGCCAAAACTCCTAAAACACATGTGATGCTCTATGGCTGCTTTGTAGTAGCAGCTGAGGCCCAAGGAGCAGGGACCTCAGCTCCCTAACGCATGCTCGGTCCTCTCGGGCCTGGGGGGCCCAGCCACGCCCGTGCCTGCTCCAGGCAGCTCAAAGCCTGCATGTGACCAAGAAGAGGTGGGGAGGGGCCAGCGTGGACCCGAGGCCACAAGCCTCCCGCCCCGCAGCAGCCCAGGGCAGGCCCACTGCCGCCGAGCTCAGGGTTAGGAGCGGGAGCCCTGGCCAGTCTGTAGCCACCACCCAGCAGCATGGACAGCACGGGGCTGCCCCGCCCGGTCACCGCTTCTGCGAGAAGCAGGGGACACTGAGCCCTGCCCCAGCCAGGACAAAGCATTCTTGTAGTGCTCCTTGAGGGTTACCCATGCGGCCATGCCAACCCCAGCTCTCTTGCCCTCCTCTGGGAGAGGCCCGGCCACCTCACGTCTCGCGGTGGGGTGGGGACAGGGGCAGGGAGGTGGCTCTGCGGTGCAAGGTGCTGGCCGTCTGGAGGTGCAGGTCAGGGAACTGGGGAGGGGACGGGAGGGCAGAAGATGCCCCAGTGCCCGGCTGGGATGGAAGCGGGGACGTGGCGTTTTCCATGAACCCCAGAATGGTGCCTGTGCCTGCTGGCTACAGAGGGGGCAGTTCGTACCAGTGCCCCAGAAACTACTGTTCTGCATGTGTAGTGCATGTGAACACGTGTAACACAGGAGTCCAGTGGCCGTGCCCACGCCCAGATGTGTGCGCTCGTGACTCGCCTGGGACGTGAGCTCCCTGCCAGTGAGCACTCTGGGCACACACGTCTGTGCCCACACGCACCACCTGCCCTGCTCCCACCCTGCAGCGGGTCCCGTGCCAGGGCGGCCGGGCCTGTGGCTGACAGGGACAGGCAGCCCGGCCACGTGGCGAAGGACACAGGGAACACCACTGGGCCACTCAGGGTTGTGACGCGGTGGCCGCCAAGGGCACCCCAGGGGCCATGTCAAGCTGAGACTGGGCACGGCCGGGCCCCAGTGCAGCTGTCAGGAGGAGGCGCTGCTGGGCCGGCGGGGAGCACGGTACAGGACCATGCAGGTGACGTGGTGTCCACCGAGTGGACAGGACGGCCAGGCCAGGGCCTGTGACAGCGAAGAACGGACACCGTAGTCAGGGCCCGCAGGACACCCTCTGCCGCCC